CATTTTTCCATCCAATCTTCAATCTATTTATATAATCAATGAAAGTGTTCTACATCAGGCAATAAACATTAAAGACACTACAATTTACTCAAACAATTACATCTTTCAATCATCCTCGTGTACAACTACTAATGCATTTCCTTAGGGCTTCCCATAGGAACCCATAAGGATCTCAAATCATACAATTACAATTCTAAAACTAAAATTAATCACATTCAAGCAATTTATACAATTAATTATATATAAGAAGAACAATAGATGAAATAGACACAATTAGAGAAAACCCCTCATACATGAGTATATAACAAACATAGAATTGGGGGTCAATCCCACTACCCAACATACATTTCCACACCTAGAACGAGGTTTCTCACTGCCTCTTACCTTGTTGAGTATATAAAGATGAACGATTGACTTCGGGTGGTTTCCTCCTCCTTCTGATTCTCTGAGCTCTGAAGTGTAAACATGTATGTGAAAAAAATGTAAAACTTAAAATTGATCATCTATCTTTTTTGTTTCTTTTTAAAACTTAACATCCCTTTAACCCTTTAATAAAAATGTGAACCATGGTTATCAAAAATTAGTTCCCTTCCCTTATTATAAATAATTAAATAATATAATCTTTAATTATAAAATTTCACTATATATATATATATATATATATATATTCATATAAAAGAATTACCAACAGTTACTAAATTTAAAATATTTAATTATCACAAACATAATAAATAATAATAAAATAAATATTAGTCAACTCTTATTAATAAAAATAAAATATCAAATTTTTTCATAAAATACCTATATTATATTTTATAAAAACGGGGTGTTACAGAGACAATGTGAATTGTTAACAATTTGAGTAATTTTACTTGGCTTTAGCATCAAATATGGTGTTCCCCATATTAGAAATTTTATATATCATGATATGCTAAAGAGGTACCATAAATTAATGATATTTAATATTGTGGATTTTTCATTATGTTAGAAAATACAATGATTATTAATTGAGTCTTGGATCCATATGAAACAAATTTCACTAATATTGTGTCATTATACTTTATTGTAGTGAGATTAACTTGAGATCAATCAATAATAATTATTGAATTAGAGTTTGTTACTTTAGAGATAGTTGATTATGCAATTTGGATCCTCTCTTGCAATATTCTCTCTCCAGCCTCTCTCCTGCAACATTAATAGCCATTAAATATATCTAATGGCTCAAATTTAATCATTTAAAAGGTTACATTAATTATAAGATAAAATTTGAGCCATTAGATATATCTAATGGCTATTAATGTTGCATGAGAGAGGCTGAAGAGATAATATTGCAGGAGAGGATCCAAATTTTTGATTATGAGACTTAGTGGTTGGGAATCTCTTAACTAATATTTCATTGGAAACACAAAATTAAGAATAACAATCTTAAAGATTGAAATTTATTGATTATGTGTAGTGAATAATAGATTTAACTGGTCTTTTGAGTTTAGATCTTTGGAAAAAATATATTATTTATGAAACATTGTGAGTTATTTATAAACATTGAGGAAAATGAGATTTTATTAAAATTACTTGAAACAAACAATGATAATAATCTAACATTTGTGATTGGAGATCCCATGAAAAAGATTCAATGAAAAATAAATCACTTATTAGTTTTGTTAGCACTACAATTAATTTTAATCATTTTTAATTTTTAATTTTTTTCCTATGGTGTGAGAAAGTGCTAAAGTTACATTAATGAGAGAATAACTTTTTTAGTTGAGTGTTATATGATTATGAGAAAATTTAACCTCTTATAAAAAAATTTGTATCCCTTATAAGTGATGTATGATTTACAACATACACTTGATGAAATTATTTATATGAATGTCAAATAGGATTAATTTCATCTTTATGAAATTTCTAAAATACTCATAAATACTGAAACATACATGATTTGATATTACAATATAATCACGATGACAAAAATTATAAAAATATATTATGATTGATTAACCTCTAATATATACTAAATATTTTAGATTCAATAACTTATTACATTCACTACACTATACATTAAATTTTATTAGTTTAAATCTAATTCAATAACTAATTATAATATTACATTCTACATAAAAATTCATAATAGCTTCTTTATGATGTAATAATACCGTACAAATGTAATTTTATAAAAATAAAAAATAAAAAAAAACTCTCATCAATTTCACGTGAAATTTAGGGGGTGTATTGGATTAGGATTTTAAAGGACTTTTTTAGTTAAAAAAAATCTTGCGAATTTTAAAAGACTTTGTAGAATTTTCATGACTTTTAAGATTTTGCAAGATTCTACAAGACTTAAAATTAGGATTTTAATGGATTCTGCAAGACTTTTAAATCAGAATTTTAATAGATTCTCTGAGATTTTGTAGGATTTTAATGGATTCTACATTTAGTTTGCTAATTGACCCATTAGCATCATGCAATCAACTTTTTATAGCATCCACTATCAATTGTAACAATTCATCGGAATCTTCCTTGGTCTAAGCTTCATAATTTTCTTTCTCTTTTTCTTTTCCTTTAATATTTCCTTGTGAATCTCCCATTTGAATTACTAAAACAATATATGTTGAAAATTAGTTATATAAATAATTATGGATAAGAGATAAAATTGATAAAATTATATTATTATTTTTATAAGCACATCAATCATACAAGATTGAATATATCTTGGCTATCCAAATGGATAAAATACCTCAATCATTATAAAAAAAACATGTAAAAACGGAAATATAGAAACATAAGATAATTTTTTATATAAAAAAATCAGTATATTCGATAGTGAGAAAATATTTAAATACATAATTTTTTTATATAAACGGAAGTATTTAGATATAAATATATATATATTATTTTAGTTATATATTATATAATAATTTTTTAACGATATTTATAAATGTAAATTATTCTAACAAATATTTTAACAATATTTCCTTTTTTTTCAAAAATAAGCTAATGAAGGCACAAATCCTAAATCCTAAAAAATTAGATACTACAATGTCTTATGTTAATTTTCTTTTTTTAAAATATAGAAAAAAAATCATAATTTCATAAAAGAAAAATTTATAGTAAATAAAATAAAATAATTGTTGAGTTATAAAAGGAGGAGGGATAAGAGTAAGAAGGAGAGAGATCGCAGTTTTTATGCTGAGAGGGTTATTCCACCAATTAAGATTCATTTTCATCTCATTCTACTCACAGAAACCCTAACTTAAATTTATATTATATATATATATATATATATATATATATATATATATATATTGTAGAGATCATGATATCAATTTTATCTTTCACCTTTTCCTTTTCTTGACGTGTGTTATAAAAAAAATTATCACTTAAAAGTTGAAATTTCAAGCATCTTTTTGTGTTACATAAGGGAACAAATTCAACTAAATAGAATAAAATAGAGCAAGTCAATTAAAGAGAATGAACAAAAAAATAGAGCAAGTCAATAACACTGTCATTTACATATCGGAGTTTCACAAAATAGGAAAATAGATTGGGAACAAAATTACAATATTATATATGAGCAATGAACAATAGTGCAATATTATTAACAGAGAAAAAATGGAGAAGACAAAAGCATAGAAAAAAAATGAAAAATTCACTTGAAAATTCTTGAAGCACTTAAAAAATCACTTCAAACAATCCTTTAAAATCCGATGGGTTTGGATGTGATTGTTTTATGAGTTTGGTATTTATAGATAACACTAGAAAGTCGTTCAAAATCCTTCTCACACAATAATCCTTTAAAATCCTTATATTTTTGAATACCAATAGATTATTTTTAAATTGTAAAAAATCTTAAATGAATATCACTGGATTATTTTTAAGTGACATAAAATCTTGATTGAATATCAATGAACTTTTTTATTCAAAAAAAAGTCTTTTAAAATCCTATAAAATCCTAAACCAATACACCCTCTTAATGTACCATATATTTAGGCTATTGTTACTGTGCCCTTTTTATGTGAAAGGGTTTCAATGCCCCCCTTATGTAAGGACCAACTATAGATTGACATGTGGATTTTATAAGCTGATTTATTGTAAACTGGTCAAGGGGTAATTTGGGATTTTGACATATGTGAAAACGATCCTGAACCCCGTTCCTGAAACCCGTTCGGAAACCTGTTTCTCGGACGACAAAGCAAGTTTGTAGATCTGAAAATTCCGTCTTCTTCGACGAAGTAAGTTGGTTTGTGAGCCTTAAACCCTAATCATCTCCAACGAAGCAAGTGACGCAAGTTCCCAGCAACTTTCTCCGGAGACAGCATCCTATCACGCACAAGTTCCCATTCGTGGCATTGCTAGCATTCCCTGCGTAAGTAGGACCCGAGACAGTGCCAATCCCTACAATAGTAATCCATGGAGCCACATCGGAGAGACTATCAGAAGTAGGACCCGCATTCCCAATGGAGCAAGAAACCAAAATCCCTTTCTCCATTGCAGAAAAAGCTCCGATAGCTACGTGGTCTCTGAAATAATCAGCCACTCCACCACCGAGCGACAACGAAAAACATTAAGTTGTCTGTTATTGCCCTATCAATCGTGGCCAGAATGTTGAAGCTGAAACACTCTCCCTTCCAGCAAACCTTGTAACAGCGACTCTCACGCGCGTGGCCATCCCACGTGTTGTCTCGGACGCGTAGCCGAACAAACTCGCGCCGGAAACCACCGACCTCGAGCCAGTGCTAGCGGTGTGGGTATCGTGGTTGTCGTCGTCACACGACGACCTAGAGTACTCCTCTATTTACAGTAACGCCCTTGGTACAAATTACCCAATTATCTCTTGACCATATGTCAAAATGTCAAATTACCCCTTGACTAGTTCACAATGAGTCACTTTATAAAATCCACATGTCAATATATGATTTGTCCTTACATAAGGGGCACTGAAACCCCCTCGTATAAAAGGGCACCGTATGAATAACCATATATTTATTAAATGAAATTTAACTTTTATGATACGGAGAGCATGTAAGTGTCTCTCGGTATCCGCACTGAGAAAGTGACAAGTGATTCCAGAGGTGAAGCGGTGATGGCGAACCTTTCAGATTTGAAAGAGAAGTGGAAGCAAGTTCCAGAATTGGAAGATGAAGAAAACTTCTCGCATGCTCTGCAGCTTAGCGGCTCCGTTGTGCTTTCCATGGCGCTGCAATCGGCCACGGAGCTTGGCGTATTTGAAGTCTTGAAAAATGCGGGTGAAGGTGCCAAGCTATCTGCGAAGGAAATTGCGTCGCAGCTTTCGTGCAAGAACACAGAGGCACCTTCCATGCTAGATCGTCTTCTCGCCCTTCTTTCCTCTCATTCCATTCTTAATTGTTCCCTCATTCCCGACGATCAAAAACTTGGATCCTTTCACAGGCTCTACACAATCACTCCTGTCGCTAAATTCTTCTCTCCCAATTCTGACGGGGTTTCCTTGGGACCCTTGTTGGCCTTGTTGCAGGATAACATCTTCCTACAAAGCTGGTACTTAAACTCTCTCTCAATTATTATTATTTTAAATTATATTATACCAAAAACCAATTCAGACACCGGGATCCTCTATCTTATTTTTTTATTTTTATTTTAATATCTCCCGCTATGTTGATTGTTGTTGTTCTCGTATGTCAAAAAAGTTCTCAAATCTTTTAGAAGATGAAGTTAAGTATAGTTTATAATCATTTCTCCTTAATTGATTGAAACACACTTTTAAGGATAAAATGGTGTCGACGTACCAAAATAAATAATAACTTACATTTTTTCAATAACAAAATTGTAACGATCTAACAAACATTAAATCAGGCAGACAATATTAAGATATTTTTTCAATCCGGTTTCCTTCAGTTACTGAACTAAACTAACTTTACATTAATTCTTAGGTCGGAGCTGAAAAATGCAATTAAGGAAGGAGGTATTCCATTCAACAGGGTTTATGGCACTCATGCTTTTGAGTATCCAAGTTTAGACTCAAGGTTCAATCAAGTTTTTAATACTGCAATGATCAACCATACCCCTTTGGTGATGAAGAAGGTTCTGGAATGCTACAAAGGTTTTGAGGACATAAAAAGGGTTGTGGACGTTGGTGGTGGTCTTGGGATAAACATAAACTTGATAACTTCCAAGTACCCTCATATAGAGGGTGTCAATTTCGACTTGCCTCATGTCATACAACATGCTCCTTCCTATCCTGGTATGTATCATCTTTACTCATTCTATTTCAGTCGTAGTGGAAAAGAGGGTAACAAAAATGCTAGTAACATTTTTTTTCTTTCTTTTTATTAACAGAGTTATTTGGTAAAATTCATACCGAGTTTCACTAAATAATTTGATTAGAATCTAGTTTCTTTGTCAATAATATGAACTATCCTGTGTGCATTGGAAAGCACTTTGAATTTTAAAATAAAAAGGTATCAACCACCAACCTTTGTATTGCAGGTGTGGAACACGTTGGCGGAGATATGTTTGCAAGTGTGCCTAAAGGAGACGCCATCTTTATGAAGGTAAGAGTATGTAAGTATTGGTGCGCTCGGCAAAAACAAAATCACTAAAAAGTAATATTTAATTTAAAGGGAAAG